GCCCCTCGGCTGCTCACGTCTCCTCCCTGGGCCCCTCGGCTGCTCACGTCTCCTCCCTGGGCCCCTCGGCTGCTCACGTCTCCTCCCTGGGCCCCTCGGCTGCTCCCGTCTCCTCCTGTGGCTTTGTTTCAGCTGCACTTCCTGCTGGGCCTCGTGCGGTGGCGGGGTCACTCCCTGGACAGTTTCCGGGTCRTACCCCTGGACTTTTGTGTTTGTCTCGTGTTCCCCGTTGTTGTCTCCGTGTCCTGTACCTCTCTCTTTTCGACGTCGGGAGCCGTCGTTAAGGGGGGGTCCTGTCATGATCTGTGTTTTTATGTCTTGGTTTTCAAAGTGTTTCAGTGTTTCCTTGTGTCTCTCAGCTCAGCTGCCCCACATCACTCTGCTGATTACCCCTGTGTTTATTCCCAGGTGTATTCTGTTCAGTCATTAGTTTTCATTGTATTTAAGTTCTGTCCTGTCTCTGTCTGGTTGTCGGTTCATTGTGTTGTGTTCCTCGTCTGAGTGATCTCTCTGTGACTCTTCTGAAGACCTGTAAGTTTCTGTGCTGCCCTGTCAGCCTTTTTGTTTATTCAAAATAAATCCTTTTGCACCATGGTTCTTGCCTGCGCCCTGGGTCAGCCCCTGCAAAATCCTCATACTCCWCTCCACGACTGCACCTTGAGATCCTGTCCATAAACACTACAAACAGGATGGGAGACAAGGGACAGCCCTGGAGGAGTCCAACATGCACTGAGAACCAGCTCGACTTTGTGCCAAGAATGTGAACACAGCTCCTGCTTTTGTTCTACAGGGACTGGATCACCCTTAATAGAAACCCAGACACTCCTTACTCCCATAGCTCTCCCCAAGTCTACAAAACACAGGTAGACCGGAGAGGTCTACAATACCACAAGAGGCAAACTCCAACGACCACCTTAGCAACTCGGTGAGGGTAAAGCCCTGGGGTCTCATNGGATAGTTGTGATCTTCGGGCCCCCAGAGGCCACTGGCCTAAAAACAGGTCTGGTTCTGTTCTGGATACTTCTACAGGTCAGAGCTCATTGAAATGGGCTCAGGCCAAGAGGAAAACTGTTCTGTGTTCAGACAAATCAAAATTTCAACTTACTTTTGGAAACTACACCTGTGCACTGGTCAAAACTCAGTCTCTCTGATGGTATGGAGGTGCATTAGTGCTTCTGGTATGAACAGCTTACACCAATGTGTTGCTGCCATAAATACACTAATAACCAGTTATTTGTTTTCTACAAATGATAGAGTTTTTATTTTAATCATTCAGTGTTTACTGTGTTTTACAGTGTGATAAATAAGGGTTTGAGATTCCAGTCATCAGTACTTTGTTTTTGTTTACATCTGACATATGGCCCCGACCTTTTTCCAACAGGGGTTGTATAAACTGTATCTTGAGGCCTTGTGTGTGTGTGTGTGTGTGTGTGTGTGTGTGTGTGTGTGTGTGTGTGTGTGT